TCTCTTATTCCTGCTTGTGCTGCTCGTACTCTTATTTCAAGTAGGTAACTGTCAGCATGTGCAGGCTTCAAAGGAGCAGGTTAAGTTTTATTTCAAGCTGAAAAGGAAAGAGGCACAATGTTTTAGCTGCGGAGCCTTCTTCAGGTCTGAAGGCAGGTGAAGAAGGCTCCACAGCCAAAACATTGTGCCTCTGTTCTTTTCAGCTTGGACCTTTAGCTGTTCCTTTGCGTACTCTTATTTCCCCTTAAATCCTGCTGCTGTTGGTCCATCGCCCTCCGCTGTTTCTCAGCTGTCGAATCCGAAGGTGGGGAAACTCAATCCTTCCATCTCTCCTCTTTCCCGCGTCTCTCCCAGTCCGCTGTGTGTCCCGGGAGCCGGAGTCGCAGAGCTGTGATGAGCGCGGTCCCCCCCAGACGCCCCGCCACCGTGCCACAGCCGGGTCCCCAAGGGAGACGCAGTAAAAACTTCAAGAAGCACTACCCCAGTAGCACCCTGCACACCTCCATCTGACCCGGGGCCAGGGGCGGAGGGGAGAGGAGGAGGAGGAGGAGGCGACAGCAGGCATCATGGCTTCCCCTGTGCAGACAGGGGCAGTAACCGGCTCTGGCCAGGAGGGGGAGCCAGAGATCAAGCCCCCCGTGTTGAACCCCCAGGCCCAGAAAGAGGGACCAGAAAGGGAGGGGATGGTGGAGGAGGTAGAGGGGGAGGAAGGCTTGCCCCCAGCGGCCAAACTGCCCCGACTCGGCAACGGAGAGGAAGTGCCCTCAGTGGTCCTACCTGCTCTAGAGGGAGGTACCGACGAGATTGGGATCGCTTTGACCTCTGACCCCAGGGCACCTGAGGACCCCGGTTCCTTGCCTGAAGGCGTCGACTCGGGTCGTGACCCTTCGCCAGCGCCGGCTGAGGCAGGTCTGTGCGGGCTTGTGGGTCCCCTCGGCGTGTCCGTCTCCTCGTGTCTGCCCGTGCTCCCTGGGTGAGGAGGAGTCGGGGTGGGGGGCACCCCTCTTGAGCCGTGCCCTGTCTCACTCTCCGATTCTCTCTCAGTGTCGCCCCAGCCTGACGCGGCCCCGGGCGTGAGTGCAGCTGCTGAGCAGAACGGACAGAGCCGGGAGCCCCCAGATGCCGAGGAGGAGAGGGGGAGTGGGACCGAGTGCATCTCTGAGGAGCAACAGGGCTAGTAAGTCCCCCACATTTCACCTGTCTGTCCATCCGTCCGCTCTGTCTGCTGCCCGTCAGTAAACCTCGGCCCTTCTGTCTGTCTCTCTCTCTCAGTAGCCTGGGGTTCGAGTTCAGCCAGAACCCGCAGATGTTAACAGGAGCCTGGGCGGAGTACGCCAGCACCCCCGAGAACTACCTCAAGGGCTGCAAATGGCAAGGCTTGTTGTTGACGTACTGTGCCTCCGAATAGCCCCATGCCCCCCCCGCACGGGTAATAGAGGGAGTGTCCTGCTGTCTCTCCCCAGGGCTCCGGACGGCACCTGTATCCTGACCAACAGCGCCGACAACGTGCTGCGCGTGTACAACCTGCCCCCGGAGCTCTACAGCCAGGAGTGGGACCTGCTGCCCGAGATGGTCTGTCTGCCTGCCTGCCTGTCTGTCCACGCGCCCTCCTCTCCCCGCTCACCTGTCTGTCCGTTGACCTGCATGCCCTCCTGTCCGCACACCTGCGCCATCCCGTTTGGCCGCCGGACTGCTTCCCCGATTCCCGTCTCTGCTGGGCTGCCTCCTCACTGCTCCGTTGGTCTCTCCCTCCCCCCCCCTCCCCCTGCAGAGCCCTGTGCTGCGGATGGCCGAGGGGGACACCATCTACGACTACTGCTGGTACCCCCTCATGAGCTCCCTGGACCCCGACACCTGCTTGTGAGTATCCGCCCCTGGTTTGCTTTGCTCTTCCCTTTCTGTGGTGTAGGAATAAGTTGTGTTATTGCGTTATGGAGGAAAAAAACCTTGTTTTCTGATTTTTTTTCCTTTCTTGTCTCAACCCCCCCCCACCTTAATTTCCCCCCCAGCATAGCCAGCAGCAGTAGGGACAACCCAATTCACATCTGGGACGCCTTCTACGGTGACCTCCGCGCAACCTTCAGGCCCTACAACCACCTGGTGAGAACAGCGCCCCCTGGCTGGGCTACCTGTGCACAGAGGGCAGAGGACATACAAACCCCACACAGACGGCACCCCCAGGCTGAAGCACAGTGCCCCTGTGCAACCCCTCTTCACACATATGAGCTTCAAATGGAGGGCGCAGTGTGGCGCTGTGGGAGTGTTTCCTATAGGGCAGCGGTTCCCAGTCCCGGGCCTGGTGACTCACACACACCGGCTGGGCTGTGTACCGGCCGAGCCCTCGGTTACACCATCAAACCCTTCGTTGACTTCATAATAATCAAAGATTCGTTTGAAGTCTGGAACGTGTTGGAGCTTTGATTCGTGTATTCTGAGAGAGAAATAAAGTCCCAAACTTGTAACTGGAAACCAAGTACAAATTTAGCAGTGAATCTAAACTTTTGAGATCAATTAAGGCTTCAGGTATGTAATGAAGGGCAGGGAATGAAAGCCGACAGGTGTGTGTAGGTCACCAGGATTGGGAACCCCCACCTGTAGGGTCTACGGACCCCATCTCATTGCCATGCAGATCCCTTTGCGAGCCCCCTGTCCCGTCAACACCTTTTCTCCCTGCTAGCTGCGCTGCAGGTTGGCGTGCTCCAAGCTCGTCCGTCTGCTGGCAGCCCTGGGCTCGGCCTGGGACTGGGCTGTGGGTCCTGCAGGGGCTCGTGGTGGGGTTCCGGTGCTGGCGTCGGGTCGACCCGCTCCGAGCGTCCGCCTCTGACTGTCCGTCTGTCCCGCCAGGACGAGCTGACCGCCGCCCACTCGCTGTGCTTCACCCCGGACGGCGCCCAGCTCTTCTGCGGCTTCGATAAGATGGTGCGCGTCTTCGAGACCTCGCGCCCCGGCAGGGAGTGCGAGAAGAGGCCCACCCTGGGTGAGCCCCCCTTTCGATCGATGGCGTTTTCTCGTGGTTTTTTAGAGAGTTTTGATTGCTTTCCCAGGTGCCCCGCCCTGTCTCTTCTCTTCCGCCTCTCGCCCTGCCCTCTGCCCCGCCCTGTCTCTTCTCTTCCGCCTCTCCCTCTGCCCCGCCCTGTCTCTTATCTCTACCCTCTTCCGCCTCTCGCCCTGCCCTCTGCCCCGCCCTGTCTCTTCTCTTCCGCCTCTCCCTCCGCCCTCTGCCCCATCTCTTCTCTTCTGCCTCTCCCTCCGCCCTCTGCCCCGTCGCTTCTCTTCCGCCTCTCACCCCGCCCTGTCTCTTATCTCTACCCTCTTCTGCCTCTCGCTCCGCCCTCTGCCCCGCCCTCTCTTCTCTTCTGCCTCTCGCTCTGCCCCACCCTGTCTCTTCTCTTCCGCCTCTCGCCCCGCCCTGTCTCTTATCTCTACCCTCTTCTGCCTCTCGCGCCGCCCTCTGCCCCACCGTCTCTTCTCTTCTGCCTCTCCCTCTGCCCCGCCCTCTCTTCTCTTCTGCCTCTCGCTCCGCCCCGCCATGTCTCTTCTCTTCTGCCTCTCGCTCCGCCCTCTGCCCC